TTTTACTCTTCGGTGTATAGATCATACAGGTCTTTTAAAATTCATTCCTAATTTACATGTTTTATGCTATTGTAAATGGTATTTTTAAAAATACCAATTTCTTATTTTCATTAGCAACATAAAGAAATACAATAAACTTATTCTGTGTATTGACTTTTTATCTGGCAACCTTGTTAAATTTATTTTATCAGTGTTAATAACTTTTTAAATGATTCAGCTTTTTTTTACAATCACAAAATCTAATAAAAACAATTTCCTTTCTAATGTGTGTGCCTTCCAACTCCCTTCTCTATCACCCACCTGTGAGTATGTTAATTGCAGATTTTTCTATAGATGCTGTTTACTGGATTGAGGCATTTCCTTTTTATCCCTATTTTGATTTGTTTTTCCATGAATGATTAGATATAATCTATTACTTGTTTGTATTGAGATGATTTTTTTACTTGTTCTTTTAGTTTGTTAGTGTGGTGAATGACATTGATTTGTGAATATTAAGCCAACCTTGAATTCATGAGATAAACCAACTTTGGTTTATATACATTTAATGTATTATTCTTTTTACAAACAATACTTTTGGATTCTACAACAATAAGATTTTTGTGAAGAATTTTTGTATGTAAATTCATGAAGGTTGTCGTTGATGGTTTTCCTTCCTATCTCTAATAACATGACTGTGTTTTGGGTCATGCTCCTTGTTTAAATTAACATAAAAGCTATTAAATAACTTCTGTAGCTTCTGTAGCTTAAAACACTTCCAGGAACATTTCCAAAGCACAACAGCAGTAAAATTTGATATGGTTATTGAGACAGAAAAAAGAGAGAGACTGAAAAAGAAATATGTACAAGAAAGATTTACATTTTCTGCCAAATGAAGCTTTATAAATATTGCGTTTACACACCTTCCAGATAAATTAAATGTTCCAAAAGGAGGGTAAATTCCTTACTAACAGGGGTATAAAGAAAAAGTAAAGTGGACACGTGAAGAAGGGGCACGTTCCAACAGCACACCCCTCTACTTGAGCTCAGCCTGGACGACTTAGCAAGATTCCACCTCAAAATATAAAAAAGAAAGATTTGGGTCTGCAGCTCAGTGCTAAAGCCTGGGCTCACTCCTCCATACTATTAAAAAAAAAAAAAAGGTACATTCATGAAGTTTTCTTTTTCCCATCTTTTTTTAAGTGAGAAAAAAGGAAAGGTGTAAACTACTGTCTTAAGGTTACACTAGTGCTTTTGCATTTGTCTTATTAAATGGTACTGGATAGGGAAGATTTTTGAAAGGCAGAAAGAATCCACACGATTGACTCCTAGTACTGTACTTCCAAGCTGCCCATGAGAAAATTCCAGAAGGTAAGATTCTTTAATGCTCTTGATCTAAAGTACTGATCTTGGAAAGTAAGATTTTTTTAATGCACTTCCTTTAACAGAAAAGCACTCTTTTTTTCTTTTCTTTTCTTCTTCTTCTTCTTTTTTTTTTTTTTTTTTTTTTTGTCTTTTTGTCTTTTTGAGTCAGGGCCTCACTGTTCAGTTCAGGCTGGACTTGAGCTCACTTTGTAGCCCAGGCTGGCCTCAAACTTGCAACAATCCTCTTGCTTCAGCCTCTCGAGTGCTGGGATTACAGGCATGTGTCACCACACCCAGCTAGAAAGGCACTCTTTTGGGTGTTAGCTAGAAGGGAAGAGACCCAAAGCCAGGGCATCTAAAACTGGGCTTATACTTTTCCTGATAAAAGGAAGATTAATGAGGATGAGCGGGGTGGAATAAGAGTTTTCAGTAACTGAAAGACTTCCCCTTTTTATTTGGATTAGGAAATAAACTTTGGGGCTTGGGGATTTTAGCTCATCAGCACAAGTGCCTGCTTGGCAAGCACAAGGTCATGAGTTTGATCCCTGGTGCCAAAAAAAAAAGAACTTTGGTGACCAGCTTCAGATGGCAGAAATAGGCCAAAGGTGGAAATGATGGAGAGCAGGATGCTAGCTCACCCGTTCATCCAGGCCATCTGGATATAGGGTCCAGGTCCTTTGCAATGACCTGGTTTTAAAGGGCCACTGCCTCTCTGGAATGTGGGTAGGGGACAGAATTCTAGGGCACTGTCAGAGAGGGACAAAGTCCATCACTGTTCAAAGAATCTGTCAATCAGCTGTGTCTGCCTCCACTCTCCACACAGGCATAAGCGAATAGAAAGTCATGGAGACAGGGTGGTACACACGTGTAGGGTGCGTGTGTTTGAAGCCAACTGCCCAAGGGGTTTCCTTCTCACAATCATTTTGTGCAAGGACAGCTGCCGGCAGTGGGCCCGGGGAATCAACAGCTAGTTGTGTGTGGGTCGTGGTGAATTAGTTCTGGTCTCCCCAGGACCTGCGGACTGTGGGCCTGTCTGTCCTGGGCTCAGAGAAGGTCCCTGGTTGCAGGTACCATCTGGGGGCCCTCAGGGATCATGGGATAGGATCGAGCACAGGCTCAGAGGTAGGACAGCACAGGATTTGGGTGCTGGACTAAATTTCTGTTCCTCGTTTTCCCTTTGTGTACAACAGGACCGATAAAGCTACTTTGCAGATGCATTTTGAGAGTGAAACGAGACCACAGACACCAAGCACCCAGAGGAGCTCCTGATACACCCTAACTCGGGAAATGGCTCAGGTTAGGTCTGCCCAGCGCCTGCAAAGTGGAGCATGGCTGCAGGACTGGTGGCTTTAATGACCTGGGGTGACTGGTGTTTATTTCATTCACCTCCAGGCAGGAGTGGAAGCTGCAAAACAAGCAGCACAGCTGCCTTCTTCCTTTCCCAAGCTTCCCCTGCGACTGGTGTATCATCTATTCTCAGCCTCAGGCGGGGCCAAAAGGTAAATCAATCAATCAGTGCACATAGAAAGAAGGAGGGCGCCTCCCACCGCGGTGACCGTCCACGCATCGTAAACAGCCCCGTCTCATTCTTCTCTGGGCCCCTGTGAGGTTTGCTGGTGGCACTGGGGACAGGCATTGGGCACGAGGACCCTGAGGTACACAGTATCTATTCCTGCCCTTCTCAATATATGGACAAGGAAACTGAGTCAAGGAGTTCAAGTGACCAGCTCCTGTAAGACGGCCACATCTGGTAGATGACAATGTGGGGAGCCAAGTGGTGACCGCTAGACAGCAAGGGCCTGCTCTTCCCAGGAGACCTCAGTGCTCTAACTTCAGGAGTGCAGAAGAGTGACTAGCAATCTTTCCCTGACAGAGAGGGCGCTGCGCATGTATTAAGCTGCTCTGCTGCTGGAGACCAGGTAGCTCAGCTGCTGCCTGTTGGCCAGTGGCTGGCCGGCTGGGATGCCCTGTGCAGCTCCTTCCCTTCTCCCCAGCCTGGGTCCTCCCCTGAGACTACTGACCTCAGAGTGTGCCCAGGTAGGTCAGCTCTTTGCAAAGCCGTACCAGTTGGCACAGTACCTGAGGTGAGCCCAGGAGCGGTTCCTGACTGGTTCTGAGTCCTGCAGTTTGAGAGCCAGCACCCTGGACTCTGGCCCCTCCTGCTCCTGGGCCTGCCTGCCTTCCCCTAATCCTGAGTTCACAGCCCAGGCTTCAAGGTCTTCTGCATCCAGGGACATCAGGGCCTGCGTGGGATGGGGTGGGGCTGCTGCTGAATTCAGAGAGATAGCTTTTGTGTTCTTAGCTGGTGTGAGAATTCCTCTGGCCGTAGTCCGTGGAAAATGCACATTGGCAGCAGCCCAGCTCCCAGCCAAGATCTGGAGATAGGACAAGGAAAGGAATTCCTTGCGCTGCTAAGAAGGGAAGGGCGGGGGGGGACAGGCCAGATGGCGGGAGGCTGGGTGTCCCCGAAAAGGATGGGTGGCTAAGACTCAGGTTGGCTACCGCACAGTGTGTAAGGTGATTCGAGATGGCCTTTCCCAGGCTTCCCGGGTTCCTCAGCAACTTCTATTAAACCCATGAGTATTTAGCAGGAGTGATTTTTACAATGGATCCCGAACAAGCATCAGAACTCCAAGTGGGACCTGAGGGTGATACCAGCTGCACAGCATCTGGGTCCGAGGTCTGAGAGAGACCCAGGCCCTCAGAGTCCAGAGGACTCCGGGGCCACAGAGCTGGAGGGAGGCAAGCAGAAGCTCCCTAACTGGGGAGCAGGGGGCCTCCAGCCAACCGCTCAACCCTGGAACTGGGAAGTGAGAAGAAAAATGGATAGTGTGGCTTAGCTCTATAAATACAACATTAATTACAGCCATTTGTACAAACTGCTTCTCATGCACGCCTAATTGCTTGCCATGTGGTACAATAACAATTATGCACTGCGTGAGCCACACACCACATGAGCTGAGGTCTGCATGCTCGGTGCAGGCCTGGCTTCCTGACACCTTGCTTGGTGGCCTGGCTGTCTGCCCATGGGGACAGTGGCTGCACTCACAGTTTAAAAAGAAGTACAACTATCTACTCAATGAATGGGTGATTCAGTCCATCAAGGCGGGGAATACCCCTGACATTTGCTAGCTCAAATACCAGCTACTTCTTGGGGGCTTGGCCAAAAAAGGAATATGTGAATTCTAACTCTTTATATCTATTTGACTCTTGTTTTCTTAATTTAGGAGGCAAATAAAGTGTCTTCACCAAACATATCCCTAAAACAGAACTTGAAAATCCATTCCAAGCTAAGGTTAATAAATCCTCCCAAGCCCACGCTTTAGAGAAGAGAATAAAATAGGAAAGTAGGTCCTCTGGGCGCAGTTAATGAGGGTGGTGGATGAAGAGGCTCTTCAGCAGCTGCAGCTGCAGAGGCCGAGGGGGAGTGGGTCCAGCTCACACGCCAAGTGGCTGCCTGCACCAATCTGCCGCACCCCACCAACGGCTAATGATGTACCAGGCTCTGGCAGAGGCCCAGTGATGGCTGAGCGCTGGGGGAGTCAACACAAAACCTTGCCTCAGGGAGGTGGTGAGCAGCTTGGGCGATGGACTGCAGACAAGCAGGATAAGCCCAGGTAAAAAGAAGAGCGTGCAGTGCGTTAGCAAAGCAAACTTACTTCTGCAGGTCTTCTGATCCGCGTGGAGAATGTAGCCTTGTTTGCATCTGCACTCGTACGAGCCGGGCGTGTTGATGCAGAAGTGGGCACAGTTGTGCTCCAGGATGCTGCACATGTGGGCAGCTGAAAGGTAAGACACAGGAAGTTAAGGGGGCCGTGATGCCTTCCTGAACCTCACTCTTCCCAGCAAGCATTTATGCAGCCCCTACCCCACAGACAAGCTGCAGTCCCTACCCTCAAGGGCATTTATGATCTACTGCAGACAAGAAAGGGTCAGATAAATAGAATCAGCAACATATGAGGGCCATGGAAATGGCCCCTATGTAGGGGCAGTGGGAAATGGTGTTGCCAGGCACAGAGGCACACGCCTGTAATCCCTGCACTCAGGAGGCTGAGACAGGAGGATCCATACAATCCAGACTACACAGTGAGTTCAAGGCCAACCTGAACTACATAGTGAGATCCTATCTCAAAAGGTGGGGAAGTTGTTATGCTGAATTACCTACATGAAGTTGCAGATATCTTACTATTTTTAACCTACAAAGACAGAAATTTCCAATTTAATGTACTAACACTTGGTAGCAGGGAGCTCAGAAGGCTCTTTGGTTAATGTGTGGATTTTCAGCAGGCAGCAGTGGAGTGGCAGGAAATGCTACTGATTAAAGGAGGATGTGTTGAAGAACCAACAGTTTCCTAGAATCATAAATTTCAAGACTAATGGAATTTTCTAAGCATTCAAAAGCATACAGAAAAAAATTTTGGAGTAACAATGCATTCATATGTTCCACATTGCCATAATTCTTATTGCTCAGTTTAAAATATTTCTGCATTCTGTTTCTGAAGTACAGCCCTTCAGCTTTCAGAGGCATAGAGTGTTGCATAAGCCATCTGAAGCCCATAAGGCTCTTGTTTTCACCTCTTAATTTATGACTGCCCTCAACGTAATGCAAGTTGAGCCTATTTAAAATTAACAAGCATCAGTGCACACAGAACAAGTTATTCAAGAGTTCTCACGAACAGAAAGGACCTCCCTATGCAAAAAATAATGTTACAAAGCTAAAATACAGGCAGCAGTTGAAATAAAGAACAATCCCATTTGTCCAGCCTTTAGAAAAACTCAGCTATGGTTGAAATTTATCTTACGTACATGTCATTATACACTGAGCAATAAATGAGGTAATGGAGTAAAACTGTTTGGTACACTTTAGAATTTATTGTTCTGAGTTTATGGCTGTGTTTCAGCTCCCATTAGTAGAGAAACAACATTAGGAAAGTTTGCTGATTGAATCCCATTTTCATTTCTACTACACAGTGAGATACACATCTTTTTTTGTAACCCTGAGCAATTTTTAAAACTCTTTATATAAAATGGGACTACAAATAGCACCAACCTCATGAAGGGCTAGAGTGAAAGAAGCCAAGAAGATAAAACAGTTAGAACCGTGCCCAGTGCCTGGGGGAGGCTGGGTTCCTCTTACCCATTTTATAGGAAAGGAGAAGTACCGTGGTGTTTTACTTGATGTGTTTCAGTTCATCCCATATACACTGAGCTGGGGCTTGGGTTTTCACGCCACTCTAATCAGATTCTATCTATTCTGAACCATGCACTGAATTCCACGGGATGTGCTCCAAGCTGAGAGGCATCAGGACGTGATGACATACAGAGCCCTGCTGTTTGCAGATTTCATATTCGCCAATCTGCCTGCACAAATTTCCTCGTGACCCCGAATCAGTACTGATGGCACAGTCACAGTCCCTTGTGAACATGCTCAGGGAGGTGAAAAATTTGTCACCTGGTGTTCATGTTCTCAGCTAAAGCCCAACACTCTGTTTTCTTGATTAAACTCTCATATTCCATAGTGTAAACAAGTGTCCCTGCCATGGTCTATTTAGTGTCATGTTCTTTGCATTTTTGTGCTTTTTTTTTAATGAGTGATTTTGCTGTTTGAAATGGTGAAGTGCTATCTAGGGTTCCTAGGTGCAAAAAGGCGCTAAGGTGCCTCTTAGGGAAAATGTGTGTTAAAATAAGTTTCATGGCCACGGATTTACTCACCAGCACAAGCACCCGCCTGGCAAGTGCAAGTTTCATTCTGGCACAAGTGATGTCTTTGTTAGCCATCAGTTCAATATGAATGAATATAATGAGTATTAGCAGATTAATATTAATGAATATGATTTATATTGAATACATTGTCTTTAAATTGAAACACGTATAAAGCAGAGTGACAGACTGATCCATTGACCACAATGTCACATGAGCAGAGGCTCACAGGAACCTAAGCCCACTTTCACACAGGATCAGGGTTCAGGACTGCGTGACTCAGGGTTCACAGCGATGCTACAGAACAAAATCCCCTCAGATAACAAGAATCAGCTATGTGGTAGACTGGGCTGACACTGTTGGATCTAGTCTACCTCTTTTGACGGCTTTATCTTCATTTTATGCAGTCCTTTCCCACTGGTCCAAGCTCAGGTGGTTTCCAGAGTCTCGCTTTTGCAAGGCTGTGTCCCACAGCGCACGTGCAACCACCTCCCCAGGCCTGGGGTCTGACTTACACAGCTGTGGCCGCAGTGCCTTCCGACACAGCTCACACCGCAAGGCAGGTGCCCCTCCAAATTACATTTTCACTTTTTTTTTTGTCTTTTCCTTTTTTATCAGTACCAGGGATCGAACTCATGACCACACACTTGCAAGGCAGGTGTTTATACCGCTGAGCTAAATCCCCATCCCATTTTCACTTTTTGACAGTGGGATGCCTTGCATTAGGATTTGTATCTGGATGTTCCCCTAAAGCATCCTGACTCAACAGTGCGGCTTCTGGCAGATGCCTGGATTACAGGGGGCCCTAGCTAGCTGGTTTGGGATTAGATGGTAGGGTCTGGTGGGAGGAGGAGGGTCACAGGCTGGAGGGATTTCATCTGCCCCCCGCCATTCCTTCTCCTCCCAGGACCCTCCCTGCTTCCCACCATGCGGTGAGCAGCTTTCCTCCACCAGGCGCCCTTCCTTGGAGCCAATGGGACATGGACTGAAGGCTCTGTAAACTGCAAGCCAAAATAAGCTTCTCCACCCTTCATTTCCAGGCATAGGGTATTGTGTCTTAGCCACAGAGGAAGTAGCTGAGACACCCTGCATCCTGGAAGGCTCTCTTCTCTTCCCCGGCTGCTGGAGTCAAGCCAGCCACCAGGACCTCACCAAGCAGCAGCTCCACAGGTGCAGGCCGGGCATGAGCCTGGTGCCTGCCTCCTTATAGCACCCTGAGGGAGCAGGGAAGACAGGGGATGTGAGGGGATGTGAGGGGATGTGAGGCTGAGAAAGTGCAAATGGCCCGTGGGCGGCACAGTGGGGAGGAGGGTGACAAATGCCATGCCTGAAAGCTCAGCTGCTGTGACCTGTCCGAGCCATTCACTTCGTTTCTCTAAAACTCCACTTTGTTTACCTGTCAGGTGTGGGAGTGGCAGCTTGTTGCTGAGGTTTATTTTGGCCATGTCTCATTTAAAAAGGACACTGGAGGACTGGAGATTTAGCTCAGTGGCTCAAGTGCTTGCCTGGCAAGTGCAAGGTCATGGGTTTGTTCCCTGGTACCAAAGAAAAGAAAATGGAATCAGGAGGTTGTGACTTGGTGCAGTCGAAGAGCACAGAATTAGGAGCCGGAAGCCTGTATCCCAGTCCCTGTTATTCAGTCAGTAAAGCACCCCGTTTTCTAGAAACTACCCTTCCTTCTCATCGCAATGCCTGACAACTGTGGGAATTACCAACCAGTTGCGGTGGTGCACACTTGTAATCCCAGCACTCCGGAGGCTGAGGCAGGAGGACCGCCTAGAGTTCAAGGCCACAAAGTGAGTTCAGGGCCAGGCTAAACTATGAGACCCTGTCTCAAAAAAGCAAAAAGAAAAACAAAAATTTGTGGCAACTGCCTAGGGCCCTGAGGTCCTGGCTACCATCGGTACAGTATTTGACAATCAGAGTCTTTAGTTAGTTTAGGAACTAGCACTTAGCAAAAGTGGGATAGGGGGTCAAACTGTGGGCAGGGAAACCTGGGGGTCCCCCTAGACCAGGAATCCTGCTCTGTGGACCAGGAAAAAAAAAATAAAAGGAGGAGCAGATGAAAGCAAGTCACTCAGTACTCCTGCTTGCATTTCCATGAATGATGTGATATAGTCCCCTGCTTTTCAAAGTTAGTTCAACTTGAATTCCTCATTCTTGCAACTAAATTAATCCCAAACGTTTTTACTACACAGAGCACAACTCTTCCCTGTGGCGATGATGACCAGTGATTTCAGCAGCATCTGGGCCTCCTGCCTTGCTCCCCCAGGGTTGGCCCTGGCAGTGTGACCAAAGGGGACGCCACATCCTGCCTCCTCCGCCAGCCCGCTGGGCCTGTCCCGGAGCCCCATCCTCAGGTCTCCTGGGTTTAAACTTGGTCAGTGCCTCGTGTGCAGAGGGAGGAATAACTGATCAATGGTCTAAGTCATTGACAAAGATTATGTACTTTTTTCAATTAGGCAACATGAAGATAATTTTATTTTTAAACAAAGGAATGAAGGACTCAGAATGTGCAACAAGGTGGGGTTGTCTGGGATCCGGAAAGGAACCGTTTCTGGGAACATGAAGCTATCCCCCTGCAGCCAGTTTGGTCTCCCGCTTCACCACGGCCTCCACGGGGAGCAGCGAGCATAGACTTCCACTGGTTGGCCACGCTGTGTCCTTGGGACACTGTTACATCCTTAGACAGGGCCCAGCCTGGAGCCTGGCTCCAGTTCCAAAATGCCAGACAAGGCTGATAAAGCTGGCACCAAGCGCTTAACTCAGAGCAGCTCGGCCAGGTTACTTTGAGTCACCCAATGCAGAACAGGCCGGCAGTTTTCAGCTCCAAGAGACGGTTCTCTCTCTGGGCAGCAAAAAGGGCGGAACCCAGGGTAGAATGAGGCGACTTGGTCGCCTCATAAACAGGACCTCAATTCAGAGGACACCTGGCCTGCAGGTCTCTGGTGTCTCCAGGGCAGCCTGGGAATGGGACCTACGGGTTCTCCCTTGCTGCGGCTCTGCAGGAGGTGGCCGGCCACCAGTACAAAGCTGCCACTTTGCCCAGGTTCCAGGCTTTATGGCCAACGAGAGCCACGGCCAGGCCCCTCACCCACAGCAGCCTGGCTGCCGAGCTGTCCATTGCTCAGGGCCCATCAGGGCCTCTGCCATCATCACTCGAACACTGCCTGCCTCCTGCAGTCGGCACAGCCCGCCTGGCTTCTGGAGCCACCTGTGGTCCTGTGGCCTCCGCCCCACACCCGTCCTCATTGGCTGTGCAGCAGCCACCGCCACCACCTGGTGCTTTTCAAGCTGTGACTCAGGATCCGCTTACGGTCATGAAATCAATGGAGATAACTGGGATTAGCTTTTGCATTGAAAAAATAAAATAGAGGCTGGGGATTTAGCTCAGCAGCATAAGCACCTGCCTTGCAAGTGTGTAGTCGTGAGTTTGATCCTTGGTACCAATTTAAAAAAATAAAATAAAATAAATAGAAACAAAATTGAAAATATCCTTCTTTGCCTGGATGACTCCAGCTGCCCACCACCACACACATATCTCCTACCTTTAAGTCTGGGTCTCTGGGTTGCACACAGTGGTTGCATGCAGCTTCTGGCATTTGGAGGACCCATCACAACCTGGGCAGGCTGCTCTTAATTAAGTGCTTGGTGCCTGCTTTTCAGTCTCCTCTGGCATTTTGGAGCTGGGGCTGGGAGCCTGTTTCAGCTCCACCACTTAGAGCTGCATGATCTTGGACAAATTATTTAAAAACTCTGGGTCCAGATTTCCCCTCTGCACAGTGGGAACATTAACTGCTCCTGCTTCACAGATTAGCCATATGAATAAGATGAGTTAATATATGTGGTGTGATCAAAATATGCAGTGAACACTAAAATTTTAAAAATGTATTACCATGCCAGGCGTGGTGGCTCATGCCTATAATCCCAGCACTCGGGGCGGGGGGGGGGGCAGGAGGATTGTTTCGAGTTCGAGACCAGCCTGGGCTACAAAGTGAACTCGAGGCCAGCCTGAACTGCATAACGAGACCTGTCTCAAAAAGACCCCCCCCAAAAAAAAGTATTACTGTAAAAAGCACCCTGCCATTTATCCCCTCAAAATTTTCTCCCCCTTGCTTCAAACACATTTATCCCATGAGTCTTGTCCCTTTCTGAAGCAGTGCTGGGGGTCCTCTTTCATGAGTGTCTTCACTTATTCTAACTGGAGGCAGGTGATAATCCCACTGTAGTTTTGATCTGCATTCCCCCGTAGACCAATGATATTAGCCATTTTTTCCATACATTTGTTAGCCATTTGTATAGATTGTTTTAAGAAATGGTGTTTTTATTTAAAGAGCACAGGGAAAACATCAAGAATTTTAAGTGAGGAAGGCCACATCCAGCTGGCAAGTGCTACCCAATGGAAAGGTGAGCTTGTAAAACCCGTATGACACAGAAACCGTGTCCTCCTCCTCCCTACCCACTGGACTGGCACCGTGGCTCTTCCCCAATGCCAAAACTATGAAAGGGAAAGTTTTTGAATTGGCTCAAGACATCAAGGCAGCCATGTCAGTGCAACTAAAGACACTTACGAGGAGGACTTCTGGAAGGAAAAACCAGGGTACAAATGTCACTGAAGTTGGGGCGGGGTATCTTAAGAAGGCTGAATGCCAATGTGTCTTTTTTTTTTTTTTATCGGTACCGGGGATCGAACTCATGACCGCCTGCTTGCAAGGCAGGTGCTTATGCTGCTGAGCTAAATGCCCAGCCCCTCCAATGTGTCTTTTACTGTAATGATTTTGTTTCATTTTGTTTTCCATTGTTTTGTTTGTGACAGAGTCTTACTATGTGGTTCAGGCTGGCCTTGAACTCACTATGTGGTACAAGCTGGCCTGGAACTCACAGTAATCCCCCTGCCTCAGCCTCCTGATGCTGGGATTACAGGTGTGCACCACCATGCTGGCTATAATGAGTTTTTTAAAATGTAAACATTCACCAAGTTTTCATTACACCTTATATAATAATAGTTTTTTTTTAAGTGCAAGTATATTAGTAATTAATATCATCATTTCTCTTTGAGGGAAACAGTCCCTAAGCAGATCCACCCCTTTTGTGGCCCAAGGGCCCCCCCCCCCACATCCCTGGCATTCCAAGGACTCCACCACCTCTGCTGTGTACACTTGGTGCTTTTTGAATCAGGCACTCTGCTGTTCTGGAAGAAAGCATCTTGCCTGCAGTCTGCAACCTTCCAGGTGAAGAACCTAGGCTCTGACTCCCCAGCTCTGCTACCTGAAGTTGACTACCCTTTCTAAGCCTCAGTATAATGGGGATAATAATAGCACCTGCCTCATAAGGTGTGTTAAGTGTGTTAAGTGAAGTGTACCTAGCAGCAGACAAGATTAGCTGTTATCAGCAAGATGTAACCCAATGCTTCAGAAACAAACAAGACTAACTTGGAAGACAGTCCTCACTGAGGCCTGGGCATTGAAGTATAGATCAAAACTGAGGCCAGCAGCCAGGCAGGACTCTGGGAGGCTGAGGCAGGAGGGTTGCAAGTTGAAAGACAGCCTGGACAATTTAGCAATTTAAGGAAACTGTCTTAATATAAAATAAATAAATAAACAAATAGGGCTAGGGATGTAGCCCAGTGCAGAGGGCCGGAGATCAATCTCCCATGCACAAAAAAAATAAATAAAATAAACCACCGGAGACCAGTTGCCTTGTGTGCTGATCCTCAGTTACAGTATTACCCACACTGAGTGGGGCACTGTCTGCATGTAGAGCTCCTCTTTCCAGATGAGGCAAGCGGGGCTCCAGACACAGAAAGCATTTAGCCACCATCAAGCAGCCGGAGCCTTCTCACCCTACCGAGGCTTCTGAGTTTACTGTGCCAGGTGAGTGCCAAGCACAGAGCAGGTTCACCCAGCAAGGCTAGCCTGAGGGCACGGCCATCTGCGAATGAACGTCACCTCAGGAAGGAGCTTCTAGTTCCTGACATGCTGAGGAGTGAAAGAGCCAGAGATTTGGGACAGGAGCCCTCCCTCCCTGGCTGCATTCCGGGCTGGTTCACTAACTCACAAGCTTGCTAACCCCAGAGAAAGGAGGGACAGGTGGAGCCTCTGCCCCGCCTGGTTTTCCTGAGGATCAAACACAAAGGCACACGGAGAAGCGCTCAAGGAATGCAAATTCCTTTGGTCTCTACCAAGACTGCTACAGAGGCCCCGGGCCTATTCAACCTCTTAGGACGGTGAATGAGGTTGTTGAGCCAAGCTGGGTGGGGTGGGGAGGGCAGACATGAGACAAGATGGGATGGATGCTTCCTTGGAGCTACCAGACTGCAACCAAGATTGAGGGCAAAGAGTCCCAGCTGCCTCTGAACGGTGCTGCCTGGGCTTAGCGCACACAGTCAGCTTCTTCCTGCCAGGCCCACAGGCCTGGCTGTGGGGCTCCTCCGCCTGGCCGCATTGCCTTCCCCTGCTGATGAAGCCCTAGCTGGGCAAGGTGATGCACGCCTGTGATCCCAGCACGTGGGAGACACACACACACACACACACACACACACACACACACACACACGGAGTCTTCTGCTGAGAGTTCCAATGCCCATGAGTAGACTGTCAAAAGTGTTAGGGAACCAATTTCTCCTTTTTAATATTTCCAGGAAAGGGGGAACATAAATTCTGCAGAAGTCATTTAAAGTCATAAACCTTAAAAATGTTTGCAGCGTGTTCTTCTGATTGAAGTTTTCCAGTTGACGCGGGCCATGCCACACCACAATAATACAGCCTTTCCGTGGCGCCAGGGAAATGGCACTTTTGAATGTCTTCCAAATGACATTGCAGAGAGAAAGGTTATTTTTCCTCCACGGCATTGATTTTTTAAGTGAGTCTTATGATTCTATAATCAAGAAAAAAAAACAGGGTCTCTGCTTTTTGAGGTTAGTTCTGGCCACATTTTTTTAAAGACACATCAAAAATACATCATTTTTCTGACTCACTAAGGCTTCCATGTCAGGGGCAGTAGGGGTGTCTCAGTTGTCACATTCTGAGAATCGGTCCTCAAAGCCCTCTGACGGACAGGGCTCCCTCCTGGGCAAGTGGTCAGGAGCCTGGCCCCTAAGCTCATTTCCACTAATGCCCCAGGGAAAGACTGGGCATTTAAAAATTAAAATTAAAAATGGATCTTTCAATCCGAGCACCGAGACACACACCTGCAATCTCAGCACTCAGGAGGCTGTGTGTTCAAACCCAGCCTGAACTGCATAGTGAGACTGTGTCTCAAGAAAACCAAATAAACTAATAATGAGGAGGAGGGTAGCAAAGGCAGCCACAGGGGCAGAAAGGTGCAAAAAAAAAGCGGAGCCAGGTTGGAAGTCCCTGGGAGGAGCGGGAAGGAGGGCTAGACGGGGAGAGGGGAGAAACCAAGCAGAACAATGCAGCCTGAGGACTTGGGCGGCAGCTTTCTGCAGAAGGAGCTGGGGGGGCGGGGAGGGGCCTGCCCTGCCGGGTGGAAGGCACCAATACCCACACCTTGGCCTCTCAGTGCCATGCCCTGGTCCTCCATTGAGAAGGGGCCTGCTGCTAATCACCACCACAGGGCACAAGGCCTTCCGTGGCACCCGCACTGTGCAAGGGGTGACATCATGACTTCGGCCTTCCATCCGTGCCCCGACTCACAAGTTCCACCTCAGGGACCCCAGGGACAGCCCCAGTGCTGCAGATACCCTCTGTCTGTGCTGGCCTTGGGGTGTGTGCACCCTTGTACCCTGAGCGCTTTCTCCACTGCATGACTGCAGTTACTCCTCTGTGCCATCATGTTTAGGAGCTGTCTCCTTGGCCAAAACAGAAGCCCCAAAACAACGCCATCTGTGTGAGTCCCTGCCGAGATCCACTGCCAGCATCCCACCCAGGACACGGCAGCTCAGAGTGAGCACTCAAAGATGAGTGAATGAATCCAGTGACATCCCCACCCCTAAGAGCCACAGAGGAGCAGGACTTACTGCACAGCTTGTTCTGGAACACTGAGGTCAGCGACTCTATCTGGCTGAAGTTGGCCACCAAGAAGACATGGTCCTCGTGGGGTTCACTTCCAATGGCCTTGAGTGTGTTGAAGTCCACTTGGCCCACGCCAATGGCGAAGATCAGGATGCCTGTGTCCCGTGCCTTTGCGGCCACTTCAGCCACAGAATCCTGTGGCCTCCCGTCTGTCACGATCATTATGACCCGTGGCACGTTTTCCCTGAGGGGCCGGGCACCCTCTGCTTCTGAGAAGGCGATATTCAGGGCATACTGGATGGCCAGCCCTGTCATGGTGCCCGTGGACAGGTGCCGCATCCTCTTCACGGCCCGCTCCACCTCGGACTTCCTCTTGAAGGTCTTGAGGGAGAACTCGTTCTTGACCGTGCTGCCATACTGGAGCAGCCCCACCCGGGTGACGTCAGGACCGATGTCCAGGAACTGCAGGATGTCCACGATGAACTCCTTGACCTTCGCATAGTCCTGGGTGTTGACGCTGCGGGAGCTGTCGATGATGAAGACCAGGTCTGCCCGTTTATTCTCACAGGTGCTCTCTGTGGGGGAAGAGAAGCCCAGCTATTAGAAGAGAGAAAGGACCCAGAGCAGATGGGCTATTGTTGGAAATCTAGAACTGATGACTACCCTCAGGCCTCCTGAGTTTGGTTTTCTTCCTCATCCAAGGAAGTGATAAAGGGATAAATAGATATTTTTTTTGCAAGATAAATAAACATACGAATTATTTATCTCTAGAAAGTCATCAATGCAATTTTTAGGCGACCAAACACATACATTACTGCATTATTTGCTGCATGGTACAGAAGCTTGGCAGAGCCCTGAGGAGAAGGAACATAAAAGCTTACACCATCCATGGGTTCCCCGTCAACCTGGGAAGACAAACTAACGGAACAATGGAATCATAGCTAGAGCGGAACTGTGGTCCTGAGGACAGCTGTTAAGAGAACGGGATGTTAAAGAGACATGAGCTGCTCTCTGGATGCAGAGCATCTGGACTAGAAAAAGGGGTACCAGAAGGAAAGCCCGGGACAGGACAGAGGCGTGGGTGTCAGTGCCTGGGGCAGGTGAGTAGGCTGCAGCAGAGGCACACCAGGCGCTGCAGGCAGGCATCAGCTGCAGAGGTGGCTGGGAGCCAGTTATAAGGGACATAAGCTTATGGGGAGAAATCTGAACACCATGCTGCAGATGAGGCGACATCTAGGCCTGGCGTTTTGTGTCTCCGGAGGGAAGTCATGTGATAAAGCAGGGCTGGTCAGCAGCGAGGAGCGGAGCTTGCACTCCGCACACATGAGCTCTTGGGACTCGGTCCCCATCTGGGAGGCAGTAGTGGAAACGGAGAGAAAGGACCCAGTGCAGACACATTTCATAAAACATGGCTACACCGTCAAAAAGCAAACTTCTCCCTTTCCACCCTGACAACAAACTATGCCGCTAGTGCAAAAGGGACTGTGGAGTCCACAGAGGAAACGCATCCTTCTAGGCCTGGGGCTGAAGAGGATGCTGGACGGCAGGGGACAACAGGCTTCTTGCTGGAATTCCTCAGTGCTGTGGGCTACCGCCTGCCGTGGATGGTCTGGATATAGCGAGTGTATCCTCTGGAGTCGCACACTGGACTTCAATGCCCAGTGTGAGTTTTGAGACTCTGAGGGTGTGGAGCCCTAATCCAGTCCTGACATTTAGAGGTGGCAGGTGACTAGAACTAGATATGGTTGTCGGGTGGAGCCCCCCTCTCTGAACACCGATGACTTGATAAGAAAAGGGCGAGACACCATACAGGACACATCCACTCATGTGCTGCATTTCTTGCTGTGCAGCACCCTAGGCTGCCCTGGAACCCTGCCAACAGGAAGCCCATTACCAGATGTGGTCTCTTCCCCTTTGTCCCACCATAAAGTTACCCAGCCCCAGGTACTTCCTTATAGTAACAGAAAATGGACTAACAGGCCACCTTTACGAGCCCAGTCTCTAATCCCCTTCCCCACCCCCTTCCTAGATTTTGTATCCAAATCAGGATTTGAAAGGGATTAGAAAGGGGATTCCAAATGCTCTAAATCTCAATCACTGCAGCTGCAAGAAAAAGAGAGAAAGCCAAAAATGAAACAGTGAAGCCAGTCATAAGAATGGGAAGCGGGAAAGGCCATGAGCTCACCCTGCCCGGGCCAGCTTGCCAGGCTGTGGCTCGCCCCGTGTGCCCCGCCCACCTCCTCACTGAGCTCCCCTCTGACCGCTGTAGAGGAGGAGGTGCCCCAAACTCCAGGAGCCTGGCCGGATGCTAGCCTCCCACCACACAATTCGGACAGTGAACCTAAGGTGAATTCTCAAGCAGCCCCACCAGCTGGCTTCAAGGACCAGAAACAGCGACATAAAATCTGACATTTGTCAGATTTTAAAGAAGATTTTAAAAATCTTTTTTTCCAGAGCCCTTTCAGCACAATGACCTCATTTCATTTGCAAGTTAAGCTACTGAGAAAATAACCAGGAGTATCACACCCATTAGATAGATGGAAAAATGGAGATGAGGAGAGTCCAAAAATCTTTACAAATACATGGAGATGATACTAACACCCAGGAGAACCTCTCTGGGTAACTGTGGGAATGTTGGAATGAGTGAGGACAGAGCCAGCATGGAGCCGGATGTGGTAGTACTTGCTTGTAATCTCAGTATTAGGGGAGGCTGAGGCAGGAGGATCCCAAGGTCAAGTGCTGCCTAGGCAATTTAGCAAGACCTGGTCTCAGAAAACAGTAAGGGCTAGGGATGTGGCTCAGTGGTAGAGCACCCTGTACCAGTACCACACCCAAAATAAAAAGACCCATATGGTAGCTGTCCTCTGCCCACCCTGTGCCTCCAGGCCTCTTTCCTCAGTCTGCACTGTGCCAGGGCTATGGCTTTCAGCTCTGCAGTTGGTGCTGCACTCAGACATGCGCTCGAGGAGGGGCGTGGGATGGACAGGAGGGCAGTCTTGTCCCTGGAGGAGTCCTGGAGGCCAGGTTTCTAATTTTCACGGTGGTGCCCATGGTTGAGCGTCCAGCCGATAACAGAGCAGGTCCCGGGAAGGAGGACACCCCTGGATGCAGGCTAGGCCCTCTCCAGGAGCCCCACCTGGAGCCATACTTCTGGCCAAAAGTACTGCTGGGATATGGCCCAATGGTCCCCACTTGCTCAGGACAGCAGGGCCCAGGCTTCAACTCTGCCGTGGAGTAGGATATTAATTAAAGAGAGAATGGTCCATAGAGGATTGGTCTTCTGAGAACTCTGGCAGCACAGGATTCTCCTGGCCTGGGATTTTTATCATGGGTTTTAGTCATGGTATCAACACATCTCATGAAGCATCATAATCAATTTAGAGGGAAGCCTGGAAGGTCCATGTCGAATTGTGTGCAAAACTGGATCGGTTCCCATCAAAGCAAATGGCTAGTTTCCACAATGTCTGGACACTTACAAAAATACCACAAAGCTTCAAAATGTTGTTGGAGGTTCCAAGCGGGTTGTGGTTCTGAGCTGAAATCATCAGATCCTGGCAGCCTAAGTGACCGAGTTTTCCCTAAGAAAACTTCAGGTCCCCTGAGGGTTCAGAGCTATCACTGTTCCTGGAAGGGCTGATGCAGTGGTTCTCAACCTTGAGCATGCACCCCAGTTCCCTGGGGCACTTGCTAAAAGCCACAGCCCCAGAGCTACTGATTCAGTAGGTCTTACTAGGGGGGCACCTGGAAATATGCATTTTATCATGGGCTGGGAAGGAGAGTTTCAAAAATGGCGGCTTGCTAGGGGATTGGGCAGACAGAAATCATATTAGATGCTAGAATATGACAACATGGAGAGGGCCAGATGGATGGATAATGATTCTTATTAACCAAGACAGCACGGCTGGAGGATTTAAAGTCGTGCTGAGACTTCGAAGGCTGATAACAGGAGGCTGCAAATCCCGCACCTTTAACGCGGCACACTGACTAGTGGATCCAAGAGGAAAAGCTGTGTTGGCTTTTGGCGCCAGCTAGAAATTGAGACTCGGGACCCCGAGAAGCAGCCAGGGCCACCCAGCTGCACCAGAGGACATTGTGAGAAGCTCTGGAGCTCAGAAGCCAGACACAGTGCAGTTTTCTGACCATTCCATGCTGTGTCGGGAACGTAGTGAAGGCAAGCGATACAGTGTACAGTAGACCCAAGAGGACGACCTGCACTGCATTCTGGTGAGTACTAGAGACTGGGTCCCGTGGCTGCTGTGGCTGGCTGGAAGACATCTTGGAATTGGGCAGAGCCCTGCGCCGTGATGGTGTCAGTGATACAGAGAGAACTAGTGGAGGACATCTTGGAATTGGGCAGATCCGGTGCCACGGTGACATTAGATAGTCGCTCCAGGCACAGAGAGGTCTGGTAGAGGACAGATAGGATTTGGGCAGAGCCCTGTGCCATGGTAACATAAGTCAGCTGCTTCTGGCACAGACAGAACTGGCAGGATCTGCTGGGGCTGAACCAAGCCACTGGTTGGGACCCAAAAAGCAGATACAAAATAGTTGCGACTCTGTGACATCCACAAAGTACATCCTAACTTGTGGATTGGCTGGCACAGAGGCTGGAGGCTAGCCTGCATAGTCCCTGCATCCCTGCCTACCCCAGATAACAGCAAATTGGGGAGGGCAGCAAAACCTCAAGTCAGCACACTTCTGAAAGGCCCTAAGCAATACAGAGAGGGCCAGAGACCCCCAGGACACTCCAGTCTGAAAGAAACCAGAAGCATGACAAGAGATAGAAATAAAAAAAAATCTCCAGCTGCTCAACATGGGAAAATAAGCCCAGGAGAAGTAAACACAGAAGAGAACAAGCACAGTAACCATCCAATACTAGACACAGCATCAGCCAAAATTAAGAAATACTTCTATGACTTCATAGATGAATTTAAAGCTGTACTCCTGATCCAAGTGAGGCAAGATATGAAGAGATTAAAGAAATGATAAGCCCTGCCCAAGAGAACACAGATGGAAGAATGGAGGAAATCAGAAAAGAAAGAAACTTCTGAAGAAGAATTTAAACATAACCTAGAATACATGAAACAGATCCAAAGAGATTACCAGGAACTAAAAAATCCATTGAACATTAGCAAAATGCCTTGACAGAAACTAGTTAGCCTTTTGAAACTTGAAGAGAGATTTATGATACATGATCGTGAAAGAAAAGACCTCTTAAAAATAAAGAGGAACCAGAAAGAAACAATTCAAGGGCTAGAAGATTACAAAAGGATCCATAACTTAAGAATAAAGAATGTGAGTGAGGAAGCAGGAGCAACCAAAAATGAAATACAAAGAATATTCACAGACATATTAAAGGAAAATTTCCCATGTATAGCAAAAAGAAATGATATCCAGATAAAAGAGACATACAAAACACCAGCTACCTACAACCAAAACAGATCTACACCCAGACATATAATAATCAAGATTCCAGAAATCCACCAAAAGAACAGAATACTAAAAGCAGCCAGGGAAAAGAAGCAGATAAATTACAACAGGAAAAATTATCAAAATAACAACAGACTTATCAACA